GCAAAAAACTTTCTAAAAATCACTTGCGTTTTATTGATGTTGGCGTTTCAAGGAATCATCGTTTTTATTCTACACATAAAAACAATGCCAAAATTGTGCTGTCAGGCGGCAATGATAAAAAAGACATAACCGAACGCGCCATAGCCACAAAAAATGATGATGACAATTTTCTTAAAGCCCGGTTTATAGATTGCCGCCCACCCGCTTTGCTTTCCCTCCGTCCGCTTCGAGTTCGTCAAGTTTTATGTTTTACGGAAGTGGGCTTACGGGAAACCAATCAAATCGCGCGCTGTGTGTTTACAAGCTAAACTGTTAAGTTAAAGCATAATTTCTTCCGATTTGACGGCTGCGTATTTCAGCAATTTTTAGTTTTTCAATTAACGTAAGGCAAATAGGATAATAATTAATAGGATGCAAACATAGTAGTTTCTTTTGCCTTTTAATGCGTTTAAGTTAAAAACTAGTTAATGATTTAAAAGGCATCTTTCCGAATTTATTTGTAGCTTTTAGAATATTTTTGACTATGCCAGTTACTGTTGCCCATGGAGAGCGGTCATTTTCGAAATTAAAACTAATTAAGACCTATTTAAGATCCAATATGAGTCAATTCAGGCTTTCAAATTTAGCAATTATAAGTATTGAAGAAGATATTTCTAACAACTTGGATGTAGGCGACTTGATTAGGGAATTTGCTATTAAAAATCGAGAAAAGTAGATTTTAGTTTTTTAGTTTAGTTTAATTATTTTTTTTTCCTGAATGTATTTTTATTTTATTCTTTTATGTATTTGTTAATAAATACTTTGTTATTTTACTATAAAATTTGTTATATGTTTATTGAGAATGATAAATTATGAACTCCTTCCCTACCGACAACCTAATTTTTTACATTAATGGGGGCGGCAAATTTAATTCTTGCACCCGGGCGGCAGATACCCTAGGCTCGGCCCTGGCACTATGAAAACCACTCCAAACAACGCCCTACTTGCAGAATGTGCAGAACCCCCATTATCTGAAAGAAGAAAATGGTTAACAACCAAATTCTTATCAAAAATAGTTCAATTTAAATCTCACCCCTTAATTCCCATTATGGCAATGCTAAAACAAGACTGCTTAAAACCAAACACATATTGGAAATCAAAAGAATACCCCTACATCATCCAAGTAACACCCCTACTTAATAAATACTTAAACAAAATTAGAAGAAGTGATCTCATGCCTTGCTTTGAAATCGAATATTGTTACCAGTTTGCCCAAATTAAAAATAAAAATCTAAACTTAAGAAAAAACTATATAAACAATAAAATAAATTTTTTAACAGAACTCGAAAAATTTAAAACAAATAAATACAACATCATTTATACAGATGCATCAAAAATTAGACATAAAACGGGTATAGGAATCTATATGCCTGAGAACGATATTCGATTTTCGGCAAGACTCCCAGACCATCTCCAGATATGCACAGCAGAAATGGCCGCAATTTGTAAGGGTGTAGAAATTGCAATCTCTAAAAATATAAAACGTAACCTAATTTTAACAGACTCTGCTAGTGCCCTTGAAAAACTAATAAACAATAAATACTCATCAAAAGACCAATATATATCAATTGCCACTAAGGCCCAGTTTCATAATCAGTTAAAAGGCTCCTTTATTTTAAAGTAACATATGAATGTGACCGACTACTTTGCAATATGTTAGTAGTCGGTCACAATCCTATGTCGCTTTAAAATAAAGGAGCCTTTTAAATGATTATGAAACTGGGCCTAAAAGGTTTATCACAATAGCCACAGAAAACGATTTTGACTTCATATTAGCATGGGTACCAGGACACGACGAAATCCACGGAAATGTGATTGCAGACCAACTAGCAAATATTGGGGTAAACCTTAATGTCCCTTTAAACTTTCAACCAGAGATGACAGAAATACTACCTGAATTAAAAAAAGAACTTTACCAAGCATACAACAAGGAATGGTTAAAAACATTTCCCAGAACAGGGAGCTGGTATGGAAAGATAGTCGACGAACTTCCGAATAAACCGTGGTTCTATACCAACAAAATACAAAATCGAAGACACCTAACAGCTATCATGCGCTTAAGAACAGGACATTGCCTTACAAACGCACACCTACACAGAATAGGTATATACCTAGTATATACTATCGCTAACAAAAAAAACTCATACAGCTTAAAAATCTAGTGTTCCTGATTTTCTATCATTTTGTTGGAGTAATTATGGCTTTTAACATGATACGTCACATTTAAAAGGTCTAAAATTAAATACAAAGTTAGGTTGAAGTTTGAAAAAAAAATAATATTTCGTCATCCCTCTGTTTTTGTCAATTACTGCCCGCAAACGGCAAAGCATGGAAGTCGCCGTCTTGCTTTATCTCGTTCCAAATGGCTTCAATGGCTTGCCAGAGTTCGTTTGTTTGGTTAAAAATGTTAAAAAAGTCATAATGGATGTGACAAAGCTCGATGTCAGCTTGACATTGACGGAAAAGTTTTATTCACACAGCCACAATATAGCTGTATGAGTTTTTTTTGTTAGCGATAGTACTAGAAAACCCATACTGCGAATGCGGACAAGTGGGTGACCTAACACACATTTTACTAGAATGCCCAATCAATGGCGACATATACTTCGAAATGGGGCAAAATGGAATAGAATTACCGACAAACCTACAATTGATTCTGAGAAACCTTAATAAAAAAACCATAAAAATACTATTAAAATTTATGGACTATCACAAAATAACATTATAACATTTATCTCTATTTATTTCTTTTTACAGATCCTTCCAATAACACTTCCTGGGTTCCTATACCGAGGTAGCATCTACTGGGTTGTCAAAGTCGCTTGGCCGCTGCCCCCAAGCGTGAAAAGTCTTACCTTTGTTTGTAACGTCCAGGGTTGCCAGATATTTTTGACAGTAAGAGCCAACCTTATAAATAAAAATAGCCCAAAAGTAGCCGTATTGGCACTAAGGTCCGACCGAACCTGATTTTGTAGTCTCGGGCGAGACCGAGACAGATGTCAATGACAATTATTTTGTCTAATTGGAATAACATAACAAATATTGCTCTGCTCGATAGATTTATTGCATGTAAAGTTCACATTGTGAACTCAGAAGAGATTAACATTTAAAATGACTTAACTATTTAAATACGTTCTTAGCAAAAATGTAATGGTTACTCAGAGCTCGTTCTCGTTTTGGTCGCGCATGCTTAGCGCTTTGAATGTCCGACTTCTGCGAAGTTTCGGCCATGGCCCATAATCTCGGCCTTTTTTCGCCGAGATGATCGGCGAGATCGAGAAATAGATCTCGGACAGTCTGTCCGAGATCTATTTCTCGATCTGTCCGGGACAGATTTATGGCCGAGAATAACCGAGATCTCGGTCGGACCTTAATTGGCACCTAGATCATGGAGCCTACACAAGGAGTCTGAATTCCATGTATATAAATGATTTCCCAAAATAGGAGGGCGCTGGTGTTATGTTTGTTGTTTGGTTTGCACTAAAACATTGTAAGGGTAAAACATGGAATTTAGCGCCGCTAGTGGTGAAAAAATAACACATAATTGGTGCGATCTAGTAGGCAGGTTCTGTCAATTCCCCCTATTGAGCTCATACTCATTGTGTATGCTTCATGCTCTAGATAAATAACTTTCGAAAACAAAAACAAATTGCGAACAACTGTCAAATAAATAAAAATTATACTAAATAACTTTATTCTTCTTCTTTTGTTGCGTAAAGTTAATATCTATAACATTTTGCGCATGATCAATTGGGAAAGGTCTATTTATATTTTTTTAACCAATTGTAGCCCAATTATAGCCCCTTTGCTAAAAATGTAGCCCAAAGTAGTAGCCTGTAGCCATCTGGAAATTTTGTGAGCCAACGAAGACGTAGAGATAGCCCAATTGGCTATAAATAGCCCAATCTGGCAACTCTGGTAACGTCTGTCCGTACTAACACCCTACTAAACTCATTTTAGCAAAAAATACACCTGGAAATATAACCTAGAAAAAAACAATTAGACCAAGGGATGAGACAACTCAGATACTCTTAATTGAGTCCCTTGATCTTGGTGGAAACCGAAAAATATAATGTGCTGGCCAAATAGCTTTTAAATTAAGCTAAAGGTCATTCCTCTGAACACAGAATTGTGTTCAGAATTAAGAAGAAGAAGAAGAAGTTAAGAGGTCTTGTACCGATACTAACAAGACATCTTAAATACGTCTTAATTAGATGTCTTTGAAACATCCCTAAAAAGACTTCTTTAAGACGTCTTTTTTATGTCTATAGGCGTCCAGGCATAATTAAGACCAAAAAAAGACGTCTTTAAGATATCATGTGCTGTCTGGGTATGTACTTAGTTTGAACCTTTAATGGACGTACAATGGACGTAGTGTGCTGTGTGGGGACAAGCTGTGACTTGATGGCGTTTTAGTCACGGGCTGAAGTTAACAACATAGGCTTTTGGGCATTTTAGTCACGGGCTGAATTTAGCTTTATTATAAATTGCGAAAAATTGAGGTTAAATTCGTTAAATGTCAAATATTTATGAATTTAAATTGGCTTACATTCTTATTTCTGTTAGTCGTAGATAAAGTATAGTATGCAATTCGTTTAATAAACTTCTCTAGACACTTGTTTTTAATAAACACTCGCTCGCAAGATTCGCTCATGCCTAATTAAACTAAAATGGCGTTTATAAAACTTGATACATAATATATTATTATAGTATAATACTATTAATACATTATTCTTGATTGGTTTATTTAAAAACATAATTAATCTACTTTATAAGCCTGACCTTGAGTAAAATTCTGCCATCAGCTGATCAGTGCGAAATGTATTCTTGTAAAAAAAATAAAAAAATAGAATTTAAAAAATTGTTTATTTCATTTAAAACAATCTATATTCACAAAAGTTGAAACGGTAATTACAAAAAATATTTATTCAGTTACCAGCACGAAATTTCATCAAACATTCTACATTCATACTGCGCTCTTTTTTAATGTGGAGCATTTAGCATATTTAACAATTTGAAAAAACAAATATATATAAAAAAATATCGTTGCCCAGGCAGGCATCTTTGTTTAATTTAATTTAACATAAACATAAATTATTAGTAAGTCAGTGGTTAAATCTTAAAATGTCTATTCACTTTTTTTTCAATAAATAAATGCATTAACTGGTTTGGGGAATTACAAATCTTCATCATCTTCCGGCAGAGCCGTTTCTTGCGCCTCTTTGAGATCCTTTTCAATTTGTTGCTGCCAATGGGGGTCCATTTGCACTTCTGGGGGCACCAAAGCAGGGGCGGCAACCAACTCCAAGTTGGGGTCGCCAATCAGTTTTCTAGCCAACCACAAGAACGGCTTTTCAAAGTTGTAATTCGACTTGGCAGAGATGTCATAGTACTAAAAAAATATTTTTTATTAGAACCTAATTTTCTACACTTTTATTATAACAAAACAAATAATAATATCTGGCCAATTTTCATCCAAAAATATTCTAGTGGGTGAAGAGAAAGGGGAAAAGAAAGATAAACTTTTATTTTATTTTTAAGTCATTTTGTATTTTAAATTAATTATTTCATTACCAAATAAAATATTAAGTGGGAGGAGAATATAAAGGAGGATCCGAAGAGTTAAATTTTTTAATAAAACTTGAATTGAAATCTTACTTACTTAGTTTCACAATCATAAATAAATATTGAAGTCAAAATTCTATTAACTAAAATACTCTGCTTCCAAGGTATTTAAATATTACAACATAATATCTTTTTTGTTTAAATCAATATTTTTACAAATACAGGGTGCACCAAGTGTACTTCTATGTGTATCCTTCTATGGATATCTTTTTATTTAAAGAGGTACAAGGTCAGTTAAATTAAAGAACAGTTGAGTAATTACAAGCCAATTAAAATGAAATTTATAAATATAAAAATGCCAACTGTTCTCAAAATATTTTAAACAAACTAAATTTTTTTGAAACTATGGTAAATCAAGGTAATTGGTTTTAAAATAACACTACAGATCTTAATTTGTTTTAAATGCTACCTTTATCTATTGACTACTTTATTTGATTTTTTCTATTTTACGTTCATACACTAACAAAGTAAACTCTAGGAATGGTTTTTGGATCAATTTTAAGAGCACTTTACACCTCACTTAGGAAGCATTGTTAATTTTCATTAGAAATGGACATTTAAATACATGTACCTACAGAGTGCAACAAGAATCCTTCTATTTATGGGTATCTTTTTTGAAAAAAACTGAAAACCTGTCACAACCAAAATTCATTTTAACTTCGTTATTCTTGGGAATTTTTAAAATAAGTAAGTTTCACATGTAAACATGCACATTAATCTACATTTTTATTCAATATTTTCGCTAATATTTTTTGAGTTCCCATTACCATCTTCTGTTTTATAATAGCCGCCAAAAAAGCATGCAAAATTCCAATATGGCGACCATAGGAAAAACAAAAGATGGTGGTGGTAACTCAAAATCTAGTAGCGAAAATATAGATTAATATTTGTGTACATGGAAAACTTACTTTTATTATAGTAAAATCAACCATATCCACAGTTCTATGTACATATATTTATCAAGATACAGAAAAGATAAACTACCATTGTGGTAGCATGGTTAGGGCAGATTTAAGTGCTGTCCTGTAAAGTTATTAATCTTCACTTAACACCTTTATCCATCATTAAATAAAAATTAATACACATTGTTGGTAACTAAATTAAACAATCAATTGCTAAGGCAACACCAATAAAACTTGTTGAAATCGGCATCATGAACATGGAGCCTACACAAGGGGCTGAACTTAATAGGGGAAATTGTCAAAACCTGCCCTCTAAATTTCACAAATTAAGTCTTTTTTTTTTGCTGTTTTGGTAGCATTTCAGTACAAATCAAACAATTGTTTATTAATAAATGGAACACCAGCTTCCTCTTATCTTAGGCAGATATTTGTATACAAGAAGTTCAGACTCCTTGTGTAGGCTCCATGATCATGAAATAGAAGTTACCAACTATGGAATTAACTATTAATAAATGCAAAATAAAAAAATCACACAATAAAAGCTAAAAAGTGTCAGAATTTGTTAATCAAACAAACATAAACAAGTTGGTTCAACCCAATTCACAAACTCTTGTTATTCTGGCAAGGAAACCACACTGATAAGTTAAAATAAGGCACTAATCAGCTCAAGATCTTGCTGCATACAACATGCTAATTAATAATAGAAAGAGGCGGTTGTTGTTGGGGTTAAAAATGGCGCGAAAATGTACTAACCTGTAGATTCTTCTTTCTGTGGAAAACGATGCTTTTGGCTTTGACTTTTCTATCTTTTATGTCGACTTTATTGCCGCACAGCACGATTGGGATGTTTTCGCAAACCCTCACGAGATCCCTGTGCCAGTTGGGCACATTCTTGTAGGTGACACGAGATGTGACATCGAACATGATTATGGCACACTGTCCCTGAATGTAGTAGCCGTCTCGCAGGCCACCGAACTTCTCTTGGCCCGCGGTGTCCCACACGTTGAACCTAATAGCCCCCCTGTTGGTGTGAAACACCAGCGGGTGCACTTCAACACCCAGTGTGGCCACGTACTTCTTCTCGAATTCACCGGTCAAGTGACGTTTTACGAACGTGGTTTTGCCAGTGCCACCGTCTCCGACCAAAACGCATTTGAATGAAGGCATTTCCTGTTCTTGAGCCATTTTATTTTTAAGATTTAAGACCTAAAAAAAACAATACGTTACGTGTTACACTGGTCAATAAACTGGACGGTTAAAATATCAAAAATAAAACTGACACAAATGTTTTGACAAAGAAATTTTAAAGACAATTGAGTAACCAGTTGAGCACGTTTCAAATACTTTTAATTTTAAAAGCGAATGGCGCTCTCAAACGTATCATAGGATTTTGATATTACGATACCGACTTTGTTAATATTTTCCTATGTTAATAAAGCACTTGGAACGAAAATAAGCAGATAAAAAAGAAGTACGTGAAAATAGATATTTACCTTGGCAAGAAAAACCGATAATAAACACTGATGGGATGGAAAATGACCGATTACTTTCGTACACTTGCAAAGTCGTTAGAGATCACAATGGCGTTCTCTTGAACCACTAGATATCGGATCGGCGTGCGCGCCACAATCACCTAATTTCCCGACTTTATATTAAACAAATACACCAAACAACGCAAAAATTCTCACTGATCACGAAAATCTAATTATTTTTTTAATCCTTACATCCAAATTTAAATAATCAACGATTAAAATCGAAAATTTATACGTGACGTCACCTATAGATCCTGACGTCATTGGCGCGTGCGCGTTGCGTTGACGGCACTGCAGTGCCCTTCTATCGATTTTCTCGTACTGTTCCAAGTGTTCGAACGAGTTCCTCTCGGCTCTAGTTTTTAGTGTTTGCAGTTTGTTGGTGTTAAACAACTTGAATGGGATTATTCTATAAAACTAAAGTTTTAAGTGGAGTGTGATTAAAAAAGGGCAAAAATGACCAAGGATAGATTGGCAGCCCTTGTTGCGGTGGGTTTTACATTTTTGTCCAAGCCTACTTAGGATTCCTTTAAAATTTGCAATAATACTCGGCTATCAGCTGATGACAGTTCAAGATTTCTAATCATAAAGTGTTTGTCTGGCTTTTAAAACGTTATAAATTGAATTTGTACGAGTCTAATTGCAACGAAATTATTAGGTTAGGTGAAATAAACTGTTAAATGTCACATCAAGCCCCACCCCTCGCTTTATGTCATTAGATCATGCTGTTAAATTTAATATAAATGTCTTGTTTCAAAGGAGAACTTTTCGACTTTTTTAGGCCCAAAGTGACGATGACGATGTTGGGCCCGACGATGTCGCTGTCAATGTCGAAGGACGTGACGGCTTCATGGACGCGTTTTTCCAAGAGGTAATATTATTATTATTGTTTATTTAATTTTTTATTTCAATAAATCGTTATCTTTTTTTTGGTTTTATTATTTATCACCATTCAATTGTTTTGACAGTTCATCAAGACATCCTTGATAAATGGGTATAGTTTTTTAAACAATTTTAGTTATAAATCACTCAAATCCAACAGGTTTTGTATGTTAATAAATAATAAAAACAAGATTATCAAACAAACAAAATTTGTCTCTTAATCAACAATAATAGTAAATATTAACAAGGCTTGTCTAAATTTATCTTGGTAAAAAATTAACATCCTAACCAAAATGGAACAAGTTGGATAGCATTAAGCGTATTTGATCCAAACAAAAAATTAAAGTTTTAAAATATCATTCTTTAAGTTGAACTATTAACCAGTAAGTAGTTAGTAACTTACTAACTACTTAAACTTAAAAAATGATATCTTAAAACTTTAATTTGGCATAGTAAGTAGTAAGAATGATATCGTAAGTAGGTACTAATTTTAATTACAAACAAAATTTTTGACAAAATTCCACAATTATTTTCCATTTTATAGGTACCATTCTAATACAAAAAAGTTAAGTAATACAAGCAAGCCCTTGCTATTTCAATTCATATCCAGAACTGGATATCTTTAAGTGAAATTGATCCAAGTGCCAAATTCTGTTGGCTTTTGAATAGATAATTTAATATTTGGGTCCTAGGAACAAAAATAGTTTTTTTTAAACAATACATAATATTTTCTATATTATTGCAAAGCTACCATTTTGACCCATGCAACGAAGACTATTGTAACTCAGTTTTGATTGTAGACTAGAGTAACTCAACTTAATATAGTTTTCGCATGTAGGAATGTGGATTATTACACTTACTATACAGGGAAATTGTTCACTGGTTGCCTATCGTTTCATGACTGAGTTACTGTAATCTTTCACCAAATAGAGCTTGAAAAAATCTGTTGATGCCATATAGTAAGTCAAAACCCACGTTTTTTGAGTTACTATAGTCTTCGTTGCATGGGTCGATTCGATTTAAGGATATAATTTATTTATTTAGTTTCTTAGGCAAAAAAAAACCCTGTGGATATACCTACTCTTACTTAAATTAATTTACATTAATAATATTATATTATAAATTATACATTAACAAAACTAATTACCAACTTCCGTTTTTAGAAAATTTTAGCATGATTTTTACATTTAATGTAAAAACAATTTTTCAATGCTTTTATCCATGCTATATACCTACATAATTAATATTTAAAAAACATTTCGCTAGAAATTCTACTGGATATTTATTGTATTGTTTTTGTAATTTGTTTTACAAAATACCAAATTAAGAAAACAAGAAGTTTTATTATTTTGCAACTTTTTTCCAAGCTATTTTTTATACATTGAGCTTAAAATTGTACCTATTACACATTTATTATTTTTTACAAATCTAATTATTATTTTTTTAACTTAGGTGGAGGAGATACGTGATATGATAGACAAAATTCAAGCAAATGTAGAGGAAGTGAAAAAGAAACACAGCTCCATTCTGTCGGCGCCTCAGAGTGATGAAAGTAAGTGGCAATTTTTTTAAATTGGTTTCAAAATATGACATATTAAATTTTGTTTACAAGAAAATAATTTGTTACTGTTTTGAAATTATCTTTTATTCTCTATAATCTTGTTTAGAGTTTTTGTGTTAAAATCAACCAATATGTACAATATTTTTTTTAGGTTATGTTTTCTTTTATACTTTTAATGCAATTGTGCACCTACAAGAATTATTCAAAAAAGCCTATTAAAATTTATTCCAAAGAAGTAATTGCTATAATTGACAATACATGTTTTTCCAATTTTGCACCCACTGTATTCCATTCCAAATGGACTTGTAGTTTTAAAACAATTTTTAGTAATTTAGTAGTTTAAACATTGAAAAATATTTTCTTAATATTGTTAATTAACCCGTAACCGGTACTGTGGTGTCTGGGAGACACTCATCAACAAACAAAGTGCTGTCACACCCTCACCTTTTGTTTTAAAAATCTGTCGCTTCCAATACTTTTAAGTTGAGCAGTTATCAATATGCTCTCAGACTTTGAACAAGTTGGATTGTTAAACGGACAAATTATTACGAGTCAAAGTGTTGAGGTGTCTAGTAGACCACTGAGTACCGTTTACGTAATTTTTATAAAACAATTAATTCCTTATGGATTCGCAACAAGGGCTTTCTAAAAGTGTCCAAAGTGATAAGAAAGGCTTCAAGGAAACTGTAATGTAGTGGTTTTATGAAATCGACAGCGATATAAGTGATATAGATGACTGTAGTATACTACATAACCATTATAGGACGATTGCACGCGTTACTGATGGGACAATCGGAAAAAAATTAACTATTTTTTGATATTTGTTGCTATCAGTAATGGGCTAATGACGGTAATATTTGGGTAACTATTAAAGCTATAGTTTGTGTAAAATTTTCAGTATCAGAGCTATTAAAATGTTTTTTATTTTACGAACTAGAAATCAATAAAATGTTGTTACTGATGGGACAAGAAAAAGGTCAAAAAAATTTCTGGTTACTAGAAGAGAATAATTCTCTGAAACAGAATAATGTTGAAGAAAAGTATAGATGAACCAAGTTGCAGATGCAGTTAGTATAACTTATTTTGACATCACTCATCTTTCAGTGTAATCTATGTAGGCAATGCATTTTGATTTCTCGTTACTGACGGGACATTACTGATGGGACATTTATTATTTTTATTTATTATACACTGAAACAAATGTGTAATTGGTTAACTTAACTAAATAACTTCAACAATAATTTTAACATGATAATAACAACTGCAAAAAATTTAAAAGCATTTGAACAAATTTGATGTTTCGGATTCATAGTGCTTCTTAATCAACGTATGAGTACCATCAACAAACTTAAAATAGTGTGAACTTAATATATCAGGTATTCAAATTTTTTGTTTTTTTTGTTTGCTGCTTTTTATTTTCTCTAAACTTTCTTTTCCTTTCTCTTTCATTAATTTTTTGCTGCATTTTAAACCCACCATCATTTTCCGCCAACTTTTTTAATTTTTCTCTGTACTTTTTTGCGCTTGAAGCATTTTTAGACAGGTAAGTCTTTTTTAAAACAGGATTTTCATAAATTTTTTTGCGATATTTTTTAACCCGCCGCATCGTATTTTCTTTGTCAAGCACCTTTTTTTTTGCCATCCTAAAAATTATCACATTTCGTTACTGACGGGACCAACTTAAAAAAAAAAGAAATACAAAAATCTGGGACAGCAAACCAATACATTTTTATCGCGTAAGCAAATGTGAAATAGGGACAAACATTTTTAATATTAATTAAAAACTGGGCAAGTTGCATACTTGCGATATTAAAACTTATCATATAATTTTGTTACTGATGGGAATATACAATAATATTATAAATTTAAATTTCTAGAACAGTTTACTTACTTACAAAAAAGATATTCAGTAATATTTTCACTAATAGTGGCGTCTAATCAAAACTGACATTTTCGGAAGCGTCACTTACTGTTATAGGTCAAAGCCACCTTGATTAAAATGCTACTTTGCATATAAATTTTAACATCGGAAAATTGCTTATTTTTGACCATATTTTTTTAAATAATAAGTACCTACCTGAGATAAACATTTTTAGTTTTTTCAACTAATTTCACCATTAATGAATAACTTCAGTATATTTTTGTTTCATTGTGCCCTGCTTAAAACTGATGGAAAAAATTACATTGCGCGTGCAATCGCCCTATAGTGATTTTGTCGTTGAAGATAATCACAGCAGCGATTCAGGACTTGTCTGTAAAGAGTCTATAGAAAATAATTTTATAGGGTCAGATAGAGAAGAATTTGAAATTTTTTAAGAATTTGAAAAAAAAACAAAAAAGTTACTATGGAAAAAATAATTGTAAAAATCAGCTATAGTTTGAAGCAGTTATTTTTGCTGTTAAAAAAATATATATTTGAATTTTTTTTGTTTATGTTATTTTATAAGGTATATTCTTCGAAATAAAGATCGTTTTATTTTGTTTGGTTTAATATTTTTTATAGTTTAATCACAAAGTTTGCACTACTGCACTTTTTGTACATGTTTTGATTAAAACCTATTTGTTTAAATTTTTCTTTTATTTAGGTATTATTTTTGGTGATATTCTAACTTTATATATAGTTCCTAGTATCCCCAAAGCCTCAGATAAAAAAAATAATATAAATTATAATTTTAAAAGGCAGGTGTCTCTCAGACCCCTTAGTACCGTTTATGACCTAAAAGTCGTACCGTACCGGTTACGGGTTAATTAATTTTATCTACTCCTGTTGCATATTTGGTTTTTTGGGCATATAAAGGTAAACATTATAAATTCCCTGCTTAACAACGGGAATAAATGAACTCATTATTCACGTTGTTAGGCATCAGTGATTTGAATCATTGAACCAATCGGCTTTTAAATTTGGAGAAGGCGACTATAATATTATTTAAAAATGGTAAAAAGTTAGACTAACTATTTGACAGATGTCAGATTTTATTTATATATTTTAAAAATCATGTAATTGTCTACTTATTGGAGTAGATAAAGCATAGTATTTCACTCGAGATTATGGGCATCTTATTTAATAATATACTATTATTGTAAAACTCTTTTAAATAGTTTTTTATGTTTTTAAATTTAATGGTTTTCTTTATATACATTCAACGACTTAAAGAATAAATAACTTAAAAAAATAATACTGTTTTGTTAAATTCACCCCTCAAACGAAATTTCTGGATCCGCCCCTGTATACATATGGGTATTTTTTTCATTCGCAATAAAGTTTGCGTAATTACAAGGCTATTAAAATAAAATTTGAAAATTGAAAAAAACACCGGAATTAAAAATATTAAAAAAAACTTTGCGTAGATACCATGAAATACTATGGTTAAATAAGTTATGACGTCAAAGTTATTTCCATTAACCATGGATTTTATTAAAAACTTTTTAACTTTTGACAATTGTTTACCATGGATTTTATTAAAAACTTTTTAACTTTTGACAATTGTTTACTTGTTTATACATGTATATAACCTAGGTTTTTGAGAAGCATTTCAAATAAAAACATTTTACCTATTTATATTAATTTTGTTTTTGTTTACCATAGCCTAGATTCATTCTACTGTTATTTTATGGGGATTACACATAATTTTTAAACTCTAATGGAATCCCAAAGAAATTAACAGGAGAAATAATATTAACCATGTTAAATAACTAGCTTGGCGCGTCTAATACAGTTAAATTTTTTATTTATTTTAAAATTCCTACCTTATTTTTTTCTTTTTTTTACCCACCCAAAATTAAGTTACGATTTTATTAGCTCTCTTAAAATGAATTAGTCAAAAATAACTAATTATAAGTCATATTTGACTAATTGTCATAGTCACTAATAATTATTCAAATTCTACTGAATGAAATAGTCAAATATGTACATTTAAATTTAAAAAAAAGTTCTGACCCAGCCGGGGTTTGAACTCGAGTCTGTCTGTTTTCAAGCTTGTCAAGCGTATGTCATAACCAAATTGTCCATCAGTCACTTTCAATTTTATTTGTCTATAAATATTGCTCATAATATTTTAAAGTTGAATATATTTTTTGTGTTGCTGTTTTGAGCTAAACTTTTTGCATCTTTGTTTGTTTTTATGGGCCATTTAACCATGGAGCCTATTTAACTCAAACCATAATGTGTTGGCCGCAAACGATTAAAGAAATTAGTTACTTTTAACTCTCAGAAATAGTTAAAAATGATGACTTATCTTAAATTAGTCACTTTAACTAGTTAGGTAGTAAAAATAACTATTTAAACGTAAAAACGACTATTTTATTAGTAAAAAATGCTGGTACTAATTCAAATAGTAGAATTTTTACTATTTCATTTTAAGAGAGAGGAATTCGTGTTTTTTTCTAAAATAGGAATTTCTCATGGAATGCCTCATATAAATGTGCATAATCTAAATTTTAAAAGTAGGCAATTCAAATAGATGTATTAAGCTATACAGTGTGTTGTAAAAAACATCCACCAATGCTCGGCTGGAGATTAGTTTTTTTTTTAAATATAGTTTGCCGAATCTTGTTGTTTTGTCAATTTTCTCTAAAACGGCTTGATTAATTAAAAAATAATACGAGATAGTTTTTGTTTAACTGGTAAAAGGTGCAAAATATGTGTTTTGTTAATTTTCATGCAATAATATGGTTTTTATTTTTTCTGTCGAAAACAAGGTAACATACAAAAACCACTAAGGAGACAAAAAAGTTGTATTTTTAGTGGCGTTAAGGTGCCTCCTAGGACGCCATTGGACTGGACAATTTTAATCTTAAAGTTAAAGCAAAATTAGCTTATTATCAGTGTAAATAACATTGACAAATTTTATCAAAAATAAAACGATATTTTAAATATTTTAAGATTTTTTATGTGTAACACCCCCCTATCTTGAAAACTAAGCATTTCCGGACCTACGTTTATATGAACTTGTTTTTTATTTTTGGATGACGAATCCCTAGCCTAGCATTGGCGCATGTTTTTTTAAACACCCTGTTTATAGAAATTAAAAAAGTTTAAGTATACATATATGAGTACATTAGATGCAAAACTCGGGTTTTGCAAATTTTTAAAAATATACCTATATTTTATCCTATTTATGTACAGGGTGATCCCCTATAATGTCGCCCCCTTTAACTTTTTTATTTTAAGTGTCCCAAAAAATTTAAAAGTGTGGTTATGTAGGAACTAAAAAATACTTTTTTTCTACGTATAAAAAAATTGGAAAATTGATCAGTATACAGGGAAAAACAAAAAGTTTATTTTTTTTCAATGGATCACCCTATATTTGAATTTATTTTTCGCTTCCTTGTAAAATTCTGAGCATAATTTATATACAAACCATATACCTAAATTCAACCGTTTCTGAAATATTCGCATTCGAAATGTCATCATTAAATGTTTTTTTAAACTGTTAAAAATCAAGAAGCCTCCGTATATCAAAATTTTTATTGAAAATAAATTACTATGGTGACATTATGTCAATAAGTGTTGTTAAATAAGTAAAAATGGCGTACTCAGACAGAGAAAGACAAACTATTTCAACTTATTATCTTAAAAATAATTTAAATATTTCAGAAACGGTTGAATTTAGGTATATGGTATGATATATAATAATAATAATAATAATAATAATAGTGTTTTATTGCCCACGGTTCACCGAACGCCGTTTTTAACGAAAAAAATAGAACAACTTTGAAACATTTTTTAAAAAAATACTTACCAACTAAGTGTTCAAAAAAAAGTAAAATGAAAATCTTCCATGTAGATCTTGGCAAATAGCGATCAATTCTTCGTAATTTATGTGCAGTATCGTATATTGCTAATATTTTATCTGTCTCAAAGTTAATATTTGTAGAATATTTTTAATTTGAAAGACTCATACCATAGTAGGAAACTCAAACTTTATTCTTATGAATGCATTATTCAAAATTATAAACGTAAAAATTGATAAACTTTAACAAAAATGTAAAAAACAACAAAATAAATCTAAGCCTACAGATGTTGACTATTGTATGCACAAAGACATCGAAGCAAGTTCATATTATATTTTTCTAAGTTATTTCTGTATAAATTAAAATTCCTGAAAAATATATTGACTGAATAATGAACTTGCTCCGATCTTGCTCTGAGAAGAAACCAAGGGCTTTTTGCGTTTCTTCAATAAATTGAGGAACATGATAAATGAGAGCATGGATCTTTGGTGTACATGTAATTCCAGCTTTTGATAATTGTAGTTTAAATTCTTTTATGTAGTCTTTATACTCATCTCCTAAGTTTTAGCCAAAGCAGCCAGAAACTACTTGATTGAACGCCTCAAATACGGGTATATATATTCATTGTCTAAAATAGGAATTATAAATCAGTAGGTAGAAAACATCCAAGCAAAGCAAAGTTTTCAATACAGCAATCGACTTTAGTAGTACTCGCGCATTATTGCCATTAAATTTCCCATAATGGTCAAAGCAGATTCCAGCACTTTTCACCCATGCCTCTGCAACTTCTGGATATTTGCTGTTTAGGGAATCAAAAAGTTTTTGTACTATGCCCAGCATAAGGTGAAGTTCTGGTGGTGGAATAAAGAACAAAACTGAGACATCCTCATCCTTTTCTATTAATGCAATGAACAAAGTAAGATCTTAATTTGTTCATTGCATTTTTAGAAAACTGTATAAATGTTCCATTGATTACCGGCGAAGAGGATGCTTTGACTATTATGGCAAATTTAATGGCAATAATGCACAAAAACTACTAAAGTCGATTGCTGTATTGAAAACTTTGTCATTAGGTAATAAGCTTTGCTTTGTTTGGATGTTTTCTACCTACTGATTTATAATTTCTATTTTAGACAATGAATATATACCCGTATTTGAGGCGTTCAATCAAGTAGTTTCTGGCTGCTTTGGCCAAAACTTAGGAGATGAATATAAAGACTACATAAAAAAATTTAAACTAAAATCATCAAAAGCTGTAATTACATGTACACCAAAGATCCATGCTCTCATTTATCATGTTCCTCAATTTATTGAAGAAACGCAAAGAGCCCTTGGTTTCTTCTCAGAGCAAGCATCGGAGCAAGTTCATCATTCATTCAATATATTTTCCAGGAATTTTAATTTATACAGAAATAACTTAGAAAAATATAATATAATTTTGATTCAATGTCTTTGTGCATACAATAGTCAACATCTGTAGGCTTAGATTTATTTTGTTGTTTTTTACATTTTTTTTAAGGTTTATCAATTTTTACGTTTATAATTTTGAATAATGCATTCAGAAGAATAAAGTTTGAGTTTCCTACTATCGTATGAGTCTTTTAAATTAAAAATATTCTACAAATATTAACTTTGAGACAGTTAAAATATTAGCAATATACGATACTACACATAAATTACGAAGAATTGATCGCTATTTCCCAAGATCTACATGGAAGATTTTCATTTTACTTTTTTTTGAATACTTAGTTGGTAAGTATTTTTTTTAAAAATGTTTCAAAGTTGTTCTATTTTTTTCGTTAAAAACGTTGTTCGGTGAACCGTGTGCCCAACAGTTAAACCATTACAGGACATTCATATTCAAAATATAATAATAATAATAATAATAATAATAATAATAATAAACAATTAAGGTATATACAAAAACTTTGGCTAAAATTAAATAAAAAATAGGTAAAAAATACAGTATATATCAGGTACAGTACGGATTATGAAGAGCAACATTCAAGAACAGATTGTATAATGAAACTTAAAGTATTAAAATTAATATCACAGTTTACTGAAATCATGTTAAAATTTTGACACATATAGTAAATCGGTGATTTTTTTCCAATATTGGTATTAGCTCTATGATTCCTAAAGGTTATTTGATTTCTAGAGTTTTTACGAGGTATATTAAAATTTAACCTATCCAATAAGATTGTACAATCGACATTGGCATGGACAATATTGTACAAAAAAGTTACCGAGATAATAATTCTTCTTAAATCTAAAGAATTAACATTAAATATTGCTAAAAGCAGCGCATGATCAAACCCTTGGACAGGATAGTTTCCGTATATTTTAAAGTGAAGCAGCTTGAGAAATTTGCGCTGCACTGTTTCTAAGCCCATTTTATGTGCTTCATAAATCGGGCTTCAGATTAATGAGGCATATTCCAATTTAGACCTAACAAATGCAAAATAGAGTGTCTTAAAAGTTCTTTCATTTTTAAAAGTTCTCGTGTTTCGAATCAGAAAGCCTAAGGATCTAAATGAAGAGTTTATAGTTTTTTCTATATGTGCAGTAAAACTTAACCCTGGATCAAACTCCACACCTAAATCCTTAAAAGCCGAAACTCTTACCAATTTGCAATTGTCAATGCCATATTCAAAAGTAATAATATTTTTCTTTTTGGAAAATGTCATTGTTTTACATTTATCTGTATTTAGATGTAGACAGTTTTTTGTACACCAACGCGAAATACTTTCTAAATCATTTTGTAAATCATAACAATCCTTTGTCGAATTTATTTTACCAAAAATTTTTAAGTCGTCAGCAAACAAAAGGTTTTTAGATTTTATGCATTCAGGAAGATAATTTATAAATATAAGAAATAAAAGGGGCCCCAAGTTGGAGCCCTGCGGCACCCCTGATGTTGGAACAAAAAACTGTGAGCCAAACCCGTTATAAAATTAATTAAATAGGAACTAAAAACACTAACTAAATCATAACTAAACCCAAATGAAGCTAATTTTGTTAATAGAACATAATGATCCATCTGGTCAAAAGCCTTTCGAAAGTCAGTGTAGATCACGTCAAGTTGGCCATGACTATCCAATACATCACTTGCAAACTGAGTAAATACTGCCAAGTTTGTAACTGTTGAACGCTTTTCAACAAACCCATGTTGATTTATGGATATTATATTTTTAATTTTATAATAGATTTTTTTATATATTATTGACTCAAATAACTTGGAAAAATTACAAAGAATAGATATTGGCCTATAATTAGCAATATTTGACTTTAAAACTGGAATAATCTTGGATATTTTCCATGTTTTGGGAAATTGCTTACTGGAAATTATGAGGTTAAATAAAAATACTAAAGGCTTTGCAAGTGCCATAGCACACTGTTAGCACAGTCCTTAACCAAAAAGCTTGGTATATTGTCAATTCCACTTGTAAATTTATGTAATTTTTTTGAAGCGGACAATATATCAGCCTCGGTAATGGGATCTATGGATATATTGTAGTGGGATGGCACACCTTTATCAAAGTAATTTATGTTGGATTTTTTGTATACATTAGAAAAATATTCACAATATTTATTTACTATATCTAATGGTTTATCATAATAAGTATTATTATAATAAACATTGTTTGGAATTCTAGATACTCCTTTCTTAGACTGGATAAAAGACCAAAATTGATTGGGACTATGATTTAAATTATTCTCAGTTTCAAATATATAATGTTTATAAGAGTAGGATATTTGTTTCTTTAGCATAGTTCTTGTATTTTTAAAAAGTTCTAGGTATATTTATCTTTTAGTGCGTTTATATTTTTTGTGATAATGCATTTTTTTATGAATATTAGAAATTATAGTTTTGTTGAACCAAGGAGGGTAATTTAATTTACGTTTACAATTAGTTTTCACTTTATATGAAATATGCTTAGAATTTTACAAGGAATCGAAAAATAAATTCATATATAGGGTGATCCATTGAAAAAAAATAAACTTTTTGTTTTTCCCTGTATACTGATCAATTTTCCAATTTTCTTTATACGTAGAAAAAAAGTATTTTTTAGTTCCTACATAACCACACTTTTAATTTTTTTTGGGACACTTAAAATAAAAAAGTTAAAGGGGGGCGACATTATAGGGGATCACCCTGTACATTACTACACTGCCTACACCATACCTAAGTAAGATGTATAAGTTAGTATTTGTAAAATTAAATACATTTAAAATCTTAAAGCAGATGCAAAACTGGGTATTTGTTTCTTCCTGTCGGATGCAAAACTCGGTATTTGCTGTTGACCAATCACGTCGCTAGTATACGCAACGACATAACAATCACCTGATTAATTCTTATTTTTTGGTATTTGCACTTTTCACTTGCAAAACTTGGTGTTTAAACGAGGAAGATGCAAAACTATGTTTTTAAATATTTTGATTACAATTATTTACTAAAATACCTAATTTTAAAGGATTTTTTGAATAAAAATTATGCAAAAGCACGTCTTTACAATTTTTGCATTTTTTTTTCAAAAATAATCTTATGAGCGGTTTTTCATGCTTTTCTTAAAATCACTTATCCTGCAAATACAGTGTTGTGCATCTAATGTACTCATATATGAGTACATTAGATGCAAAACTCGGTTTTTTCAAATTTCAAATAATATTATTTATTAAAATATTATTTATCCTATTTATGTACATTACTGCACTGCCTACAGCATACCTAAGTAAACCAGATGTATAAGTTAATATTTGTACAATAAAATACATTTAAAAACTTAACGCAGATGCAAAACTGGATATTTCTTTTTCCTGTCGGGTGCAAAACTCGGTATTTGCTGTTGACCAATCACGTAGCTAGTGTACGCATTACGTGACGACAACAATCACCTGATTAGTTGTTATGTTTGGTATTTGCACTTTTCACTTGCAAAACTTGGTCTTTGAACGAGGAAGATGCAAAACCATGTTTTTAAATATATTGATTACAATTATTTACCTAATTTTAAATAATTTCTTTTCGAATAAAAATGATGCAAAAGCGCGTCTACAATTTTTGCATGTTTTTTCATAATGATCTAATGAGCGGTTTTTCATTTTTTCCTTAAAATCACTTATCCTGCAAATACAGAGTTGTGCATCTAATGTACTCATATACTTATAAACCATTTTGAGTATGGGTATAAGGACGTATGGCAGACCATCGGCAACGCCTTACACTGATCTTCCAGGGTTATTTTACCTCCTTTCGGTTTTCATACAAATTTTTACCCTGGCAGGTAAATCTTCCCTAGGAGATCGTGGATGACAGTGTCGATGGTTAAGGCCACTCCCGGATTTTTGTCGCTGGGTCGGACCATACGCCAGATTTAGGCTAGTGGAGTGTAGGACAAGGAGGGACAATATGGATTTTGGGGGCCTTGAACTGACTTAAAACTAAGTACAATCCGGACTCCCCCTCAACCAGGGTTTTAGTAATAACCCCATTCATTTGGGGTTAATGAATGGGGGGATTGGTTAATATGCTGCTAGGATATATCCTTGGTTTTGAAGTACTTCCTGTTCGTCTGTGTCCTCTCTGAACGGGTCATATTCCCAGCTTGTTGATTACCTATAGCGTTGCTCCCATATAAACAATACTATTCTTATACTATAGTAGTATATTTTCTATGTTTGCACCCCACTGTGCGCTGCGATTGTTTATTCGCTTAGAACGTTTGAGAAGTCAGCCAAATTATGGTCCCCTTAATGTCTTAGTAATCTACAGATGTTTATTTCTTTAGGTTTGCTTAGTGTTTATCAGAACTTGAGTGATTAATGGCTTCTTGTGTTTATAATTTTTTAGACTGGTTGATCTTTATTTGAACTGTTTGCGTCTAATTATTTTACCTGGTGGATTCTTTGTTAGTTAAAGATTGCGGATTTTGTATTAATTAGTATTATTAATATTTGGGAATTATATGGTCATGCAATTTTGGTAATTTTTACTTATCTTATTTATGTAGGCTTGTACTTCGGGTGTATTGCCAGGTAGATGTGATGTAATTGTTCCTTAACCCCGACCGCCCACGTTAGCACGTGTAGGAGTCCAGGAGATTATTCGTTGAAACTGATCGTCTCACTCACACCTTTTATCCAGGTAAAACACTTGAGAACTTATTCCAGGAAAAGGTACCACACGCAATTTGCACTGTTTTGCACTTGGATCTGGTATATCAAGTGTGGAATCGTTATTAATTGTAAGAAAAACTTCAAAATAAAGTTTAATACATATATTAAACGACACTTTATTAATAACAAAACTATTCAGTAAGAACGCTGCTTCCTGACTGCCCCTTTCTTCTCACGTATACGATGTGTTATAAACACCGTCAGCATTTACGCCCGCTTCTCGTTTAGCGAGCTCGAGTTAAAGGTCTCCAAATATTTATCTTACATTCGGCCTTCCTGCTTTTGTGCTTCATCCTCGAAAGC